TGAAAACCATTAGAGTCTTCACAACCCAACATGGATCTTCCTAAGGAGGCTTGGCTGCTCTTGTAGCCTCAGCCCACTCTATGGCAGCTACTGGGCTTTGACAGAAGCTTTACCTTTCTCGTTGGAGTGAATGGATGCCTGGGAGACCTGGAGAGCTCTCAGTATGGACACAGGTCACTAGGAAAAGCCCGCTACAGCCAGGTAACACGTACCATTGCAAAGGCAGCAAAGCTGGTTTATAGTTCCCAGCCTTCCTGACCCGCAGCCTCCCATTCACACGTATTTCTGCCCCGGTTTTGTAACCTCTAAAGTTGTTCTGATGCAGCTGGTTTTGAAGTTAAGTCTAAGATTTATTATTTTTTTAAAAAGAATTATTTCCAGGAAGATTTTATTGTTGACCTGAAGTGAACTAGGCTCATTTCCCAGCACTATTGCAGAGCAAACAGATGCATTGGCAAAACTGAGAGTGAACTACAAGAAGAAGCAGTGATGTGCCTCTTGGGGGGCTGGATAAGGTGACCTCCAGAGGTCCCTTCCAACCTCAGCTGTTCTGGGATGCTGTGATATGCGTGGCTACTGCTGCAGAAGTTGTCTGGAACTTTTTTAATAATTAGATTTGATTTTTTTCAGATATAAGAGATGTTATAAAAGTCTGATTAAGGGCCATTGAAAAGAGATTGTTGGGGTCTTTTACTCGAAGAGCAAAAATAGGGATAGAACTTATTTAGAGAAGAGTCATGTGGTTGCCTGACATTGCAAGCGGGCAAGTATGCACATCAGGAGCTCACTAAATCCTGTTTATGTCTTTCCATTTGTAAATACCACGAAAACAGGGCCCTACACATTTAGAAGACAGATCTATAAAACCTGGATATAGTTATCTGATGGGACCCAATCCTCAGGTGAAAGAACCAACTATTATGTTGGTTTATGTCAGGAGAGGACCTGGTACTTATTATTTATTCAATAAACTCTTGTCAGTCTCTCATAGTTTTTGACAAATGCAATTGCCCAGATCTTCACATTTAAACTGGTTTAAAAACATAACATAAAACAGGATCCTAGTTCAGTTAGGGCTCTGAGATTATATAAATAACTGTAAAATGAACAGAGGAAAAAGCTCAGAATCCGCAAAATGACATAGCGGACTATTCTCTTAATCATCTGCCAATGTTCTGCCTGCCAATTTTACAAGATAGGAAGAAAATGTTAATTGAACATGCGTGTGAGAAATAGATATTGCATATGGATCACAGATACCAACAAACAGAAAACTGCATATTGCCTAAGCAGCTGCACAGTTTTTGCACATGCAGTTCCATATTTTGGGCACACATTGTAGCCATAATTTACAAACTTTTTCAAAAATATTTAAATAACAAATGGAAAATCACACACAGACGCGCGCGCGCATTCGTGTTGGACAAGAGAACAGTTCCGCTTCATGATCCGAGATAATAAAGTATTGTGCATTACATTTACCATCATTATTCTAACTCATTAGAGTCAAAGTGTTGTATAGTAGGTATAATACTCAGCAGACAGATAGTTACTCATATCTACATACATCACTTAGATACACATTTTAGAAAATTTTGCCAGTTGCCTATAAGAATTCAGCTGAATATCTAGCACTTAATGAGCCACAGTATCATATTTCCAGTATCTTATAAAATGTCATCAGGAAATGTTAGGGTATTACTTTTATTTTGTATACTGAGTCAGTTTGTCAAGCACCAGCATTTACAACTCTCGCTTGCTTCAGATGGTAGAAATATGACAACGTGTCAGAGAGCTGATGTAAGTAAGGGGAAATCATATTTATTCTCTGTTATAAGATTAATTCTAGAAGAAAGGCACCATGAAAGAAAGACAAATTTTTAAACACATACAAGGGGAGAGATTTATTGCTCATGGTGACACATAAATCAACCAGTGACTGACTGTGATACACAAGCATAATGAGACAAGTTCAATGCTGTATTCTTCTCCACCTTTTACTAGCCATCTGAAATGTACCATGTTTGGTTTTTTGTTCTTTTTTTTTTTTTTTTCTGGGAAATTATCTTACTCTATTTGAATAATTGATTTAAAATTTGAAATCCTTCTGGGGCTAGGTTTATCAACATACAAACCTCCCATTGACTTTGGTAGCAGCGCCATGCATAAGTTGAGAACTGTGGACTTTAACAATCATCCTGTTGCATTTCACTTAAGTAAAAGTGGTCTTAGTAAAACGTATAACAATCTGATACAGAGCTTTTTGTCTTTTTAAACTCACTAATAATTAACTTTCTAATACCCTGTATTCTGATACAATCAAGTCATCAAAATTACTTGAATTCCTTAAGAAACAAGTATTGAACTGGGTGTTTTTATCTAATGCACCTGAGAAAATTATGTTAAGCCTAAGAATTGAAATGATTAAGATGAGGTAGACTATTTAATCTGGCTAAGGTCTAATTTTGAATGCAGTGTTGTAAAAACTTACTTAAATTCTCTAACTATATTTGTGTGTATATTTTATTGTAATTATGTTATTTTTTTATAACTAAAATTAGTGGTTAAGCTGCACATTTTTATTTACATGGTAGCTGATGATCTTTGTTATGTTAATTCTTCCATTTATAAAGCAGGTGACAATGAAATTCATAGATTAACATGCTTCCTTGCAGCTGTAGTACCATGCCTACAACTCAGACCAACAACGGAGCTATTGCACCACGTTCACTGACTTTGGGGTGAAGCCCCTCACTGAGTTACCTCTCTGGGCTTTGAATCACTGGCCAGAAACTTCAGCAGATGCTTTTTCAAGGTATGAAGGAAATTGTAGTTGCCATAATGTCTGTTCTGTCAAAGACATATTCATGGTAGAGCTTGCAAAATGGAGCATGCTGATGTTTGCAAAATGACTGATATTGATCATTTAGCAGAAGTGATAGGGACCATGCTAATTTAGCCCATTAACCTTTGCTGTCAGGGATTCTACAGAGCTATAGGCACCAAACAGTGCCCTTTGCCTGGGAGACACAGGAGATGGTAACTAAAAAGTAATCCCACATTTTTAGTACTCACAGCCTTATTTTCTCAATATGGTATTGACAGTCAGAATATGAGCAAGGATAGGTGGTGATATAGCCAGCTATCTCAGCTGTTATTTAAGCTGCCATTGCATGCATGAAGCCCAATTAACCAAGACCATTCAAAATCTGGGCATATATTTGCCATTTACCCTCAAAAAAGAAACTGTGTACTTTATGGCCAATGGGCAGAATATTTCTTGAGCTACCCAGCAAAAATTAATTTAATTTCTGATGTTAACTTGCTGTTGTCTTATGCACTTTAAGTCACTTTCTGGAGAAAAATGTGTGCAGAATTAAGGTCAGAATTGGTAGTAAGTCTTTTGCCAATCAAAGTATAAATGTGAAGCATTTGAAACCAACAGTTCTTCACCTGAAACTAATTTTAAGAGATTGAGGACAACACATTTTGTTGATGCAAGTTGTTTTAGAAATTGATTATTCCTAAAAATCATAACAACAGAAATGACAACTGATTAATTATTGCTCTTCATCTTCTACAGCTTAATTAGTAAGAAAACACTTGAAAAACCATCTGATTTCATAGTGTTTTCACTGAATTGAGAGAGAAGTCACTGAAAATTACCCAGGAAAGTAATTCTTCATGAGTCACTGGAGGATGGCTTCAGCATCATGTGTCTATATGACAGTTGTGAAGACATCTACCAGCTGTAGTTGTACTTACAGTGAACTAAATAATGTTTACGAAAATTAAGATACTGTGGCAGTGTCTGAAGAAGTGTGACATGTAGGATTGTCCTGGTTTTGAAAATGTTACTGGTATTTAGGCCTATGTTAGCTGCAGGCTGAACTGAATGCATGGTAAATGTTAATAAAGTTACTATGCATAGCTGCAATCTAGAGCTGTAAAGATCTATACTGAAACCTCCTGAGATCTGCACGTTTAGGTGTGGGTTCAGATTATTGGCTGCATTTTCATGGTGGGGAGGGAGTCTATTATTTTTGTTCCACTTGCTTTGGAAATTATACTTTTAAACTCAGTTTTCGGCTCATCTTTCCTTTAAGTAACATATCTGTAGGAAAAAAACATGATTAATAACACCTCAGAAAAAGAGATTCCCCCCTGCCCCGGACACAGGGCCCGGTTCTGCAGCTTTGGGCAAAATCCATCTCTTTATAGCTCAGATACACTGGAAGGTAGGCAGGAGGCATCCTGACCTTTCCATCCTCTCTGCCGTTTTTATTTTTCTGAAATTTAATGGGGACAAAACTAATGGGATTCTGTGAAAGTTACCTAAAAAACTTAGAGAAGACACGGCTGAATCCAGCCTGTAGTGTACTTCAAAAGTGATTTTTCTCTTCCTTCAATTCTACAGAATTGTTCAAAAAATGTGTATCAGAAGAGATTGAAAGCTATGTTGGGCACTCTACGAGTATCTAGGTAAAGATTTTTCTTAATAGCTTTTCCTATTAAGAGTTTTTCTCTCAAGCAACAAGGTTGGGGTGGTTTTTGTAAAACCAGGTTGGCAGCTCCATCAGAGGGAGCGTCACCTGCAACCAGTGAAAAGTACAGCCCAAATATCCCTGTGCAGCTTTTTAGAATGACCTTACGATGGTACCGGTTTGCTCCCATTATGTTCATGAGTCCTTCTGCTGAGGACTAGCTTTTTACTCTCTATGTATGTGTAACTGCTGATGGAAATCAATGGGAGATTTGTACTTGTGAAGCCTGCATGACCACAGATCAATAGCACTCTTTTAGTTGGAGGCAGGAGGTACAAAGCAGCCTGCCTCCCTTAGGTGTTACATGGGCTACTGGAGGGACACGGGCTGGCCTTCAACCTGTCCATGGCTGCCTCCCGAAACCTTGACAGCTGAGGAGAGCTACTAGGGATAGGCCAGTTACTTTTGTTTCCCATATATCATTTTATATGTCTTGTAGGTGCCATACCAGGCTCCTCATTCGTTCAGCTGCAATACATTCCGATTGTGCGATTCGCTTGTCAGGGCAGAGGAATTGATGGAGCTTCTTTTGAGGATCTTGTTTATGATGTCTTTCCATGTCTTCTTGTACTGGTGCCGTAGGAGAGAGTACACAAAAGGGTCTGAAACAACTTTGCTGTAAGCTAAGCACTTGGAAATGATTCCCCAGTGGGAATTGATGTGGACAACAGAGGATAATTCAACTAGTCTGTGAAAAGAGGAAGGTTGAAAGAGTGAATATTCCTATTAAAAACATGGAACAACAGCACAACTGTAAGCCAATGACACCCCCCACCCAAAAAAAACCAAAAAAACCCAAAAAAAAACCAAACAAAAAAACCAACACCAAAAAAAACCAACCCAATTTATTCCTGGGCAACTGCAAGAAAGCAAAAGAAAAGCAAGCCATACTCATGAAAATGTGAATGTAGTCCTCCCCTTATACATTTCTAAGACTGCAAATATAAACTTGAGGTCCATTTCCCAAGGATGGGACTACACAGCTCCTGTCAGAGTGGCTTGACCTCCAAACTTCAAGGCATCCTTGACTCTGTATGTTTAGCTGTACATTTACTGAGGCTGGAAGTGGACCTTGGATGCCTTGCCTCCTAAAAGGCTCTTTTGATCATTTGCCTCAATAAATGTTGAAGAATTTAGTGCAAAATGGAATAGCTCCATCAGGATATGAGGCAGTCTTCAAAAGAGCCTATTTATTTGTTATTTGAATACACCTTTTGGAGACTAAAAACTGAGTCCAAATCTCTGATGTAGAGCTGGGTTTTCAACTTCTCTGGCTCACTCAGGCCATCAAGATACTTGATAAAAGGGCACCCGCTCCGTAGAGTACTGTAACCTAGCCCTGTTTTTATTATGTAGTGAACACCATGTTTGGGATCATGGTCCGGTAAGCAGGTCAACATTTCACGTAAAGTTCACTGCTGATGAAAAATATCATGCAGCATTTACTCATAAAATCATTTCCTACATAACATATCCTGAACCATTACACTTTTAGTCTCTGTGGTAAAACTTATCTATACAGACAATGTGTGTTACTTTCTCTGATGACTCTAGGGTTTTCAGTCCTAATAAGATCTCTTGTTATATAGTAACACTTCACTTATTTTTTTTTATTCATTTAATACTTTTGTTTTGTGCATTTTTCTAGTAGTGTGTGTCATAAGGTCATGTTTCTGACAGCTGAAGTTCATCACAGACTTACCATATCTCTAAAGGGAATAAAAGGAGTATAATCTTCCCAGGTATGTTTCCTGATGACTTTCACATTTATTGCCACCATTGAATCCATCATACACAGCAAATTTAACCACAAGTATGGTAAAAAATTATTTCTGCATACCCTAACATAATTCTTTAAACATTGGTGATAAACCATACTTTAAGCACTAAAGTTTGAGATCGGGACACAAAGTGCCATCGCTCGGTCTCATGGGAGTCATGTTCCCCTACCATTAGCTATCTAAAAATCCAGCATCTAGTCTGAACTCGTGGTTCTGGGTCCCCTCTAGAGTATCTGAGAAACCACCTCACCAGCGCTGTCTAGCTTTCTTAGCCAGTCCAGCTACTAGAGAGAGAGTTCAGTGCTTTTAAACAGTTCGTCTGCGTTGTAGGAGAAGCACACAAGGAAGGAAAATTCATCATTGAGAGGTGACATAATGTATCTTGATTTTAAAAACTGGTCAGATTAAAGGCCAAACATATACATTTGCAGCAAATTTAGTAAGGCAAAACTTTTAACTCGTCAGGGGAGGGAGGGAGAGAGGGGAGAGCTTTATATCCTCCTCGTGCTTACACCAGCACAGATAGTTCACTTTGTACTGAGACAGAGTATTTTTGCCAGTGAAATACTAATAACTCCACAAGGTTTTCTTTCCCCATGTCTTTGAGCAACACTGAAAGGCAGTTCTGCTCAGTATGTCTCTACACTGTTGAAAAACTATTAGTTTTTCTAGAGGACAAACAACTGCATGTGCTGCTAGAGAGCTCCACTATGCGATGGCAAGTAAGATCTTTGCTGAAACTGTCTTCAGCAGCAAGTGCTCTTAAACCTGCCTGAAAAATACTTCAGTTGCTGGTGTTTCTTCTGACAAAGCACCATTTCCAAGGAGCACTCTGAAGTGTGGTTCCTGCAGCAGCAACGACAACAGTGTTGGTACTTCAAGCAGTGTAGAGATGAGGATTTTTTTCCTCAGTCATCTTATTCTCATTCTGTGAACTTTCACTACATCGTGTTGTTTAAAATAGCACTGGCAGATGGCATGGTCCAGTCAGCTGAGCACAAAAGTGGGACTAAGGAGCCTTAATTTTTTACGCACTGACTACGAGCTTCTATCTTCTCTCTCCGTTCTGGTTTGCCTAGACCGCAAACTCCATGGCAAAAGCACTGTTTCTCCCTGGATATGTGCACTGGGCTTAGCACCACGGGTCTGCAGCCAGTGCTGGGGCTTTAGCCCCTGTCATGGTATTGGCAATCCTAATACTGAGAATAGGTTTGTGTGCTTTGTGCTAGCAATTTGATCACTTTGTCTGTCACTCCCATTGGAGGCGAGACACACCTGTACAATGTTGCTTTTAGGGGTGGTGATGTTAACCAAAATACTCTTTGGGCTCGCAGACGTGCAAGACAGTTGAGGTGATCAGGCTATGTTCCATGAAAATATTTGGGAATTGCTCTTGCCACTCCACTGGTGCCACTTGGCTCGGCTGATCACTGTAAGCAGCTTTGAGATACCAAAGAACCGCTGTCTGTCCTATTTCTCTCTCCTTTCGTCTTGACTAAACAAATGCTGTTCTTTTAACCTCTCCTTGTAAATCATGGTTGATATCTTTCTTACAAAGTAGGATCCAAACTCAGACATAATTATCATCTACTCAAGCTGCCGGGGGGTCTCATCTGGTGTATTCTCTCTTGTTTAATAATACGTAGCTTATGACACCCACGCTAGTATGCTCTAAAATGAGAATTGACTATTGGGAAATTAATCATCTACTGAGTCATATTTACTTTGTAATCTACCATGAGCCATCCTTCTTCTTGTTATTCTCCACTCCACGCATTTGATGCCTTCTTTGCATTTTGAATTTCATCATGTTGACTTTCATCTGGTTGATTTACTTTTACCAAATGCTTTACACATGTGAATTTGATTAATTTTAATTAAATTCAGTAGATGCCTTGAATGACCAAAATATGACAAATTTGTGCCTGAGTGTCTGTCAATCAGTTCTACGAGATGTTAACAATCTCCATTTAGAGCATATCAAACAGACACTTCAGGGTTGCAAGCCTAGACCTGGTAATTTTACCTTAATTGACTGATCAGCTGGAAAGCCTACACTTTTATCAACAGAAATTTAAATATTTTCTTTGATTATATTCCCTACGTGTCCTTCATAGTTACACATTTTGCAATTCTTGTGTATTATTTTTTTATAGTAAATTACTTTTGCAGATATCAAGCAGCAAACACAGAAACGCAGACAAACCCTAAGCTATGCAATTCCAATTCATGTACAATTAAATGTCAGTCTGTCAAGGCATATCGCATACTTTATTGCCTTTGAAAGAGGGTTTTGTTTCTCATTTATGACGGAAATTATATGCATAGCTTTAATTTTCATGAAAAGTTTCAGCCGAAAAGAAGACACATTCAGTGAAGGAGCATTACTATTTCGGTGCTACCTGTAAATTAAATTCTACAGTGTCAACTACATAATTCCCTATCTTGCTTTCATAAGCCACTCTTCTACTGTCTGTCTTCAATACCTTTTTATTTCAAAGCTATAAGCTGTTTTACTGTGATACTTTGTTAATATTTTAGAAACTTATAATTCTGTAGCATGTGTCATGTCAATGGCTATCCAATGATTTTATTTCACTTTCAGTAAAGAGATGGGAATGCTATATTGAAGATTAAGACCTTGATCTTTTATGCAGATAATACACACTGAAAACCCTTTATATACATGTGCAGTGTATCATTTTAGTAAAATATTTTACTGAATGTGTATATGTCCAATGGCAACATATCTGTTGTGCATTGCTTAAACCTGAGAACTTAACTGAGTTATGTAGAAAATTCTGAATAGACCAGAGTCTCAAACAAGATAAAATGTCTTGTTGTTCAGGAGTCAAACAAAGCTGGCACTGCATTTTGGAGCTGGTAGATGCTGAAGTTGTCACAAGAAGAAATCAGTCCTTTCCCCAAGAATTTGGATCAGCTCTTTAAGCTTGCATTCCTGACATTTCTGTTTGGGTCTAATTCTGATTTTTTTCCCCCCTCAAGTCCCAGAGTATCAGAATTAGGCCTTAGTTGTTTCTTTTGTGTTAATGATGTGAATAAGCTGACCATGAGTTTCATCTTGATGTTGATTTTACTTTATTTTCACTTTATTGCTTGGTAGACTGAATCTTTTGTATGCTGTCTTGCTAGTGAAAAAGCCCTATTTTAATGATTGCTTCTTGATACAAAAATGAGATCGCAGTGATTGCTAGCTGGTTTACCCTTAGCCAGTTTTGCCTCTTAAGTTGTGCATGTATTACAGCTGGCCAGCTGCCGTAAGGAAGAAGACTTTTGGACTCTTGTAGCTAATCTTGCAAATCTCTTGCAGCAAACCTTGCAAGCCATTGCTTTTAGCCGTTGCTGTTCCCCAGAGCTGCAGGAACCAGCTGTCAGCACAGAGATATGAGGATAGCAAGCAGCACTGTCCAGCTTGTACCAAAAGGCTTTTCTGTCCAGGAGGAAAATACCTCTACTTCACATCAGCTGAGGCTTTTGATGAAGACTAGAAGGCCACTTTCTTCGCATATGTCAACGTAAGATTACATAGGAAAATCATGCATTTATATGCCCAGACAGGCAAGAACATAACTTGCAGAGGGGTTCTGAACTGGCTTGTCTACCTGAGCAGGATCTGCAGGCAGAAGGCAGGCAACCACTTTAAAAACACAGTTTCTTCACCCCTTGTCCCCCAGAGATGATACAAGAGAATTTTAATCTTCTTCTGCCTGTGCCGCCATCCTCCTCTCTAACCTGAGGGCTTGGGGCTATGAACTTCTTTCTGATATTACTTCAGGATTTTTAATTTAAAGCCAAATTCCTCACACGCTGACAGCACTTATTAACTTACATGAGCAAAGTTTTGTATTTCAGTATGAAATGCCTGGAGTTGGAAATTAATATTAGAAACTGGTATGACTTATTTTAATTTTTCTTATGAAAAAGGTCCTTGGAGAAAATAGGGTTTGAACAATGTTATTTAATCGCATAATGATAAATATAGCAAAAGAACAGATGTGTACTAATAGAATTTTTACAAACGAAGAGACAAGCTATGCCTAGAAATAAATAATACAGGGTAATACATCTGTCATACTGGTATGTGGAAACGAATCGAGAAGAATCAGATTCTACTGGTATACTACTTAAGGCCAGCCACTGAACTAATTAGAAGGGTGTTTTCTTGATAAAAGAGCTGCCTAATCTGATTTTTACCTTAATGTACTCTGAAAAACCCTGTTTTACCCAGAGAAGAATTTATCTGGCTGGGGTTATAAGCACAACTCCTTCACCGGTTCATGGAATTGCTAGAGAGAACTATTCGTTTTTAGTGTGGAAGCAGAAAGATATTGTTGTAGTAAAGCCTTGTGATCTGCTGCTTTCAGGCCTCAATTCATGAAGTACTTAAAAGCATGGTTAATTTAAGCATATTGCCAATTAGAGCTGGCTGGCCAAATGAGAGGCTGAGCAATACAATTCATGGGCTATCTTCTGTTCACTGCCTTGAACTGTGATTGATTGCTTCTACCCTGTGAATGCAAAGCACTGGACATAGCCCAGAAAATCATAATTAAGCTCAAAAGCCTCCTGATCCCCTTGACTTCAGCACCCTCGGCTGTATGTGTGAGGCATAGGGAAGCACAGTTATGCATGTCCTCAAATACCTCTCCATGCGGTGTGGTGCCAGCAAGGTCTCGAGGGGGATTCAGGTAGCTACCGAGGGAATTCCCCGTAGCCTGTTGTGCAGTGATCCCCTAGATCAGAACTGTTGCGCAGTGATCCCCTAGGCGTGTCAGAACTGAAAAGGCCAGGAAAGCAACAGCCTTTGCCCCACCTGGCACGCCTGGCCAGTGCCCAAGCCTTCAAGCACTCTTCATGCATTTGAGACCCTTCGTCTTCACTCCTCTCATAGTCACGCTCTGCAGCAAAGCTATTAGTCCTCAACAGACTGAAGGCTCAGGGGAACAGTTAAGTCATCCTTGTATGGACGAAAGAGAGGAGGCTCAGGATTTTTCTAACCCCTTTTCTGTATCTTAGGGCTACTGGGACACAAATTAGGATGCCACAGAGTTAAGAGGAGGTGGTGCCTGAATGCTGGGCTGAGATGCCTACGGAGAAGCCCAAAAATACTTCTGACAGTCCCGGTTAGAGCACTCACCATCGCTCAGGACAGAGCTGCAAGATATTCTGTGGCTGTGACGGTTTTCATTAAGTTCAGAGACCCAACATAAAACGCAATTTAACCATTTGTCATGAAACAAATACTCTAATATCTTCTAGACTGAGAACTAAGGCTGAATGCTTGTAATTGTAAATCCTTTCATACCCTTTTAGAGTGTGTGGGTGGAGCGTCTTCTTGTGACTACTAAATGAAAGTAAAGCTAGTAACATTGTTACAGTGTGTTTGCAACATCATTACAGCCGAATTTGCAACATTGTTGCAGTCATATTTGCGACATTTGTTGCGGTCATGTTCGCAACATTGTTGCGGTCATGTTCGCAACATTGTTGCTGTGCGTTCGCAACATTGTTGCTGTGCGTTTGCAACATTGTTACCGTGTATCCGCAACATTGTTGCGGCGTATTTGCAACATTGTTGCAGTGTAGTCGCGACATTGTTGCGGCCGCATTCGCAACACTGTTACAAACAAACGGTATGAATCAATTAGCAGTTATTACCATGAACATCAAATCAATGTGACATGCAGGTTCCATTTTTACCAGGAGACTGCAAGACCTTGTGAGTTGTTTTGTTAGAAATAATAGAAATTCAGGATATTACCCTGCATTGGAAAAACTTGGGGATGGCTACATGCCCACTTATACTGAGTCTTAATTCAGCTTTTTCAATGATTTTTTTTATGATGGATCTGAGTTTGACTGATGTCAGCCCCAGTAATTTCTATTTGATAGTACTGGAATAGGTGAGACTTTAAAAGTATTTTTTCTTTTTGTGTTCTGCACAGCAGCATTTTGGTTTTTCCAGAGTCTTTTAATAAGGAATGCAAGTCATAAATTTCCTTCAACAACTAGATAACACTTTTCTGGATATACTCACTTTCTAATACTTTCTGTTTCATAGGAGTAATGTTGTGTTTCCCACAGGAGCCATTTCCAAAGATAAGCTAGTAGATAGATAAGGACTTCTGACCATAAATCACAAGAATTTTTTTTAGTTAGGAGCCAGAACAGCTTTGATATTTGATGTTTATGACTAATAAACTCTATCCAGTCAGACAAAACTATCATTTAAGCTGGTGGACCATGCTCTCACCTCAGTTGGATCTTGTCTGGCCAGATTTTTACAGTCTGACCTATTGAGACAAGTGTCTTTGCCTGCAGATCACCCCCTGACCCAGGCAGCAATCTGAGGAGTAGGTGACTACTTGAGCCCAAAAAAGTCGGCAAAATCCTGTGGAGTGGCTTCCTAAATCACTCCCATGCGACCAACAAATCAACTGGACTGACTGAACGGCGTTTGGCCTCCAGACTGCATCAGGATTGTATCAAGTAAGTGCTATGGCATTTTATACAGTTTTGTTAGCTCAGTACATGCAATCTCTGTCATAGGAGAGGAAACGGTGCACGAAATTTTCACAGGAGACTTGAATCATTTCCCGGCTCAGCGTGCCCTACTTCACCGAGTTAAGAGTGCACTTCGGTAGTCTTTTCCAGTATGTAGGTTCACACTTACCTTGTAATTACATAAGGTGCAAAACAAAGTATAAAAGTACCAATAAAGGTACTTATTTTCTTTGTTGCTCGCTGCCTCCGTCTCTTTTGTTCTTCTAGACAACGCTCTCTTACACTGTGTGACATTCAACACAAACAAGAACATGAATCATAACATCAGGTAGCAGATTTTAATGGCTTTACTTATGGAATGACGGAAATCAATCGTTTCAGTAAGTGCTGTATTCACATAAGCCAATACTGGGTGCATTGCATTTATAGGGGACAATACCAAGTATTAATGCATTGTATGATCATCTTATCCTCCAAACACAATTACTGAGAAATACATGATTATATATTTATATGCACACACCCCCATTAAAATGATTTATAAATAGTCAAATTGGCAGAATTCAGCCTTGAATTCAGTTGCAGCTCCTTTTTGAATTACTGTAAGCTGTATTTGCAGGCCAGAGTTTGTCTCATGATATTCAGAGCTGTGGAAAATATCCAGAGTGGGGTAGGCAGCAGCTACATCCCTAGAAACAGCAATCCCAACACCGCTATCTTAGACAGGAGAAACTTCCCAGCAAGATAAGCAATAAACCACAATGAAATCATAACGGGGGAAAAAAACATGCTCTGAACATTCAGTCCAACGTTGGAGCAATCACTATATCCCATTGCTGTGAACTGTGTGGCCATAAATCTCACAGCAGCCTGCGCAGCTCTGCACGGCCGCAGTGCTGAATGCTTCGCAAAGCCAGGAATTATGTAGCAAATCCACAGCGCCGTGATGTTCTGACTCCTTGCCTCAAACCAGCCTCGTTCCCGACTAAACAGATACAAATTAGTCACACCCTGGGTTTTTTTCCTACCTGTGGCATTTTAGGACAAGAGCTTCTCCTTTGAATTTCCCAGTGGTGGTCTCACTGCTAAGACCCTTGTGCCAGCAAGGTGATGGGAGCATGGGGCTAAGACCACGCTTCCATTGCAGGAAATCCCCTTTGAAATCAGCATATTTGCTTGCCAAAAGAGTGATAACATGAAAACCTATGCTCCTTCTCTACCCACTTGTGTAACTCCTCTGCTGGCTGTGCATTTTCATAGAATCATAGAATGCTTTGGGTTGGAAGGGACCTCTAAAGGCCATCCAGTCCATCCCCCCTGCAATGGGCAGGGACATCTACAACCAGATCAGGTTGCTCAGAGCCCCATCCAGCCTGGCCTTGAAGGTTTCC